CTTCTGTCTTCTCTCTCTTCTGTCTTCTCTCTCTTCTGTCTTCTCTCAGTTCTGTCTTCTCTCAGTTCTGTCTTCTCTCAGTTCTGTCTTCTCTCTCTTCTGTCCACTCTCTTGTGTCTTCTCTCTTCTGTCCTGTCTTTGTCTACTCTTCTCTATCTCTACTCTTCTTTTTCTCTCTTCTCTTCTGTCCTCTTCCTTCTCTCTCTCTCACTTCTCTCTCTCTCGCTTCTCTCTATCTGCTCTCTGTATCTCTCTTCTCTCTCGCTTCTCTGTCACCTCTCTCTCTCCTCTCTTTTCTCACTGTCTCCTCTCTCATCATCTCTTCTCTGTCTGTCTTCTCTTCTCTCCCTCTGTCTTCTCTTTCTCTGTTCTCTTCTCTCTCTGTTCACTTCGCTCTCTCAGTTCTCTTCTCATCTGCCTTGCTTCTGTCTCTCTTTTCTCTTATCATTTCTCTCGCTTCTCTCTCTCTCTTCTATCTCTCTCGCTTCTGTCTCGCTTCTCTCTCTCTCTGTCTCTCGCTCTTCTCTTCTCACACTGTTTTCTTCTCTCTCACTGTTCTCTTCTCTCTGTCTGCTGTCTTCTTCTCATGTCTTTCCCTTCTCTCACTCGCTTCTCTCTCTGCTCTCTTCTCTCTCTCTCATCTCTCTCTCTTTCTCTTCTCTTTGTCTGTCTCTTCTCTCTCTCTGTCTTCTCTCTCTCTGTGTTCACTCTCTCTTCTTTCTCTCTCTCTCTTCTTTTCTCTCCTCTCTCTTCTCTTTCTCTCTACTCTCACTCTTTCTCTCTCTTCTCTCTGTCTCTCTTCTCTGTCTTTTCTCTCTTTTCTGTCTTTTCTCTCTTCTCTGTCTTTTCTCTCTGCTGTCTTCTGTGTCTGCTGTCTTCTCTCTCTTCTCTCCTCTCTCTACTCTTCTCTCTCTCTCTTCTCTTCTTTCTCTCTCTCTCTCTGTTCTCTTCTGTCCTCTTTCTCCTCTGCCTATCTCTCTGCTCTCTCTCCCCTCTCTCTCTTCTCCCTCTCTTTTCTCGGTCTTTCTCTCTCTCCTCTACTCTTCTCTCTCTGTCTTCCCTTTTCTGTCTCTGTTCTCTTCTCTGTCTCTGTTCGCTTGTCATCTATCTCTTCTCGCTTCTCTCTCTCTCACTTCTCTCTCCTCTCCTCTTTCTCTCTCTCTGCTCTCTCTCTTTCTCTTTCTTCTTTGCTTTCTCTCTCTCCTCTCTCTCTTCTCTTCGCCTTCTCTTCTCTTTGCTCTCTCTTCTCTCTCCTCCTCTCTTCTCTCTC